CTAACTTCGTTAACAGCTCACCCAGGGACAAATGTTATGACAAAAGATGACCATAAAACACTTCCCCCATAAGATAAACACTGTGTTTGGAATCTTATACCCTTGTAGCTGTGTGAATGCTCTGACCTATGTTTGAATTTCTTTGTTTGAAAAAACCCTATAAAACCTATGCACAATCCTGTAATGGGGCTTCACTTCACTTAGAGAGTGCAGTCCGCATGTGTGTAATATACTTCCTTCAGTTTTATCTGTGTCCCGGTACTTGGTGTTCTCTTGCTGGCTTGGTATAACATAGAGCATGCACTCTTCCAATTGCTCTGCTGTCTCTTATATTTTATTTCCCTGTTCAGGAACCTGGGATGAAGTGTGCTAGGGTTTGTCTTATACTGCACCATCTATCTCTAGTGAAGGGGCATGAGTCTTTCTACCATGGTATTTGATACCTGAAACCCACGGTACTGTGCTTTCCTGCAAACACCTGACATGCTGCTTTCTCCATATGAAAAATGAGCTTTCTGTTCCAGAGGCTCAAGCCTTGCTTCCACATGGAACTGGACTGCACACTCACTTTGTACTTATGTCCTCTCCTCATCCCATCATTCTTTTGGGAATGAGGTTCCCTGGCCACTGTTTTGAGGCCTCTTCTCACATGCACAGAAGGCTCTGAGCAGAAGGCAGGAGTGACTCTGGGGTGCTGGGCAGTCCTCACTGCTTCTCTCATGTTCCTACAGGCTCAGCACTTCTTATTTCACCACGTGTGCAGGGTGAACAGCCATCAGGAAATAGATATCACCTTGTGAGATTTGAAAACCTCATTTTTAAAGTTTTCCTGAAAGTGTGGAACAAGGGTTCCGTAGTCTTCCACCGAAAGGTGGGAGGGATGGGGTGAGGGGCTTTCAGCCACACAGTTCAGAGGCAAAGGATCCAGGAGGGTGGCTGTGCAGTGGTGCTGCTGCTGTCTCTTCGCTATTGGAAGTTTCATTTCCTGAAGCAAGAGGCCCCAGGAAAGGCACCTTGTAAACAAATCTGAAAGGCACCCTCAGGTAAAGTGTTTCCAAGTAAGCCCATCTAATGAAATTTCATCGATTGTGCAATGCTGCTAAGGCTGCTGCTCTATGGATTTCAGAATTCTGTTTGCAGGCCTTTTGTTTCATTTAGTAATGAATATTGATGCTGTATTTTGTTGTGGTATCATGTTATGTTGTGGTATCAAAAATAAGGGATTTAATATGGCATACATGTAATTATTTAAATGGTTGGGGTCAAGGTTGATGTGGTAGTCCAGTTGTCACTGGATTATGACCATGTGTACTCAGCAAATTGAAAGTCTTCAAGGGGTGGGATGGAGCCACCAAGGAGGCCAGGACTGTCCCTGGAAGCCTTTTTACAGCACCAAATGTCTTCCTTGAGAGCAGAATTCCCAGCACCTAGATAAGAAGTTCTTTCTTGACACACCCATGGGAAAGAGAACACATTGCTCAGGAAGGATTAAAGAGCATTAAAAGTGGAATTCAAGTCCATTCAGTAAGTGTTTACTAAATACTTAATATGTCCTTCTTCCTGTGGGGCACAGGGGCATTCAGCACCTGCAGGGAAACTGGTTAAGGAAATTAAAGTGCAATTGGCAGAAATGTCAATTGACTTGAATTTGCTTGATTTGAAAGGTTTCTCTAATCCCCTGGATTGCGCTATCTAGTTTGTTGTATCTAAGCCTTAAATATTGCATGAAACTATTATTATCTATTTTTACAACCCTATAAACTATTGATTTTTAATTAAATTACTGATGATGTCGCAACATGAGCATTTTGGCTTTTTTTTTTTGCAAAAGGAATTAAATTTTCTAATTCATCTTTATCAGTGTGCTTCTGACACTACTCAAGTTTAAATTTATAAAATAATTTAAAATAGTTGAAAATAAAGATCTTCAATCCTTAAATCTCCAGATTATAACTTTATGCTACCAAGCAGTATTTTTTGTTTGTCTGTTTGCTGTTTTTTTGCTTTTTTAAGGTACCAGGGATTGAACTCAGGACCTTGTGCTTGCAAGGCAGCTGCAGTGCCACTGAACTAAATCCCTGGCCCCCAGTGCTTTTAAAAAGTAGTTTTTACTCACTCTGTGTTATTTGATTTTAAGCCATTTATGGCAAGGGTTTTTGAAATTTTTACATGAAATTCATTTAAGTTACCTATAAAAAGTCAAGGAACATGAATTTGAAGAGAACAAATTTCATTACGTTCCATTCTTATGGGTGTTCTTAACATGGATCGCTAGGCATTGAAGGGTTAAAAATATTTAAATTCATTTTAAGACTCTGGGGCCCACACACACATTTTGCCAAATATGGAAATGAACAGATTGCTTCTAATATGATATTTTGCCTGAATAGTTTGGAAAAGTTTATTGTTTCTCTGTCCCCACTGGTTTATAAGCTATGCAAATCTGAGTCATTGTATACGTAAGGGATTTTATGGTGTATATCACATTAATAGCTACATCTATCCTTTAGTTGAGCAATCAAATACTTAGCAAGCACCTGCTGAAAGTGAGCTAAGATTCTAGACCCTGCATGGCCCTCTGTGAAATGGGTGCATATGCCCAGTCCATTTGAAGCACCTATGGGGAAAAGGGCCCAGGAATCAGGAAGGATGGAAGAGAGCTAGTTAATGATTTAATTACTTAAGAGCAATGCAAGACCTACAGAAGTGTTAATGGTGATTCACACCCCAACCTCACCAGAAAGCTTGGATGTACAGCTGTTCCCAGGCCTATTATACTTCATTCAGTCTCACCTGGGAACCAGCACTGAGGAGGAAGTATTTTCAGTAAGGAAGATAAAAGCGAAGATCTAAATCACTTCCCCCCTCCTACTGAACACAGTATCTTGCTTTTCAAAGACTCAGATCTCTTTATTTTTTTCCTCCACTCTAATTATGTGTCAGAAGGTTAAGGTGGGGACACCATTAGCATACTAGAATGGAAAGGAAGCCAGTGAAGTGGTGTAAAAGCCCAGCAGAGGCCCTGTACTCCTGAGCAGGGAGGGGTCCCTGTGCAGAGAAGCCCCTGCTGTCCTGGGAAGAGCCCACACCTTCCCAGAAGTGGTTCTGCTGTGGGCCCAGAGCCTGGGAACAGCCACAATCTCCATTCGTACTTTGTAACCTTCAATACTTTCAGCATCATCAGTAAATTTCCCCTAGAAAAGTTTCTGTTTTATGTACTAATATTGAAGAAAGAAGTTTTTTATTTTTGGCTCAAGTTTCGGAGTTTAGCTCTGTTCAACCTCTGAAGTCCTGGGTGCTTAGAGAAGTTGCTTTCACAGCCTGCTTCAGGTGATACTTGTAGTCCTTAATAATTTCCCCATGGAATTGTATGGCAATACACTGCTACACCTCTTGGGAACACTGTGCACTGGGAAGTGTCAGAGTTTTGTTCCTTTTGGCTTCCCGTCTGTGAGCACACAGTGAATGTGCTGGGCATGGTGAACTCTGTGTCTCTGACGTCTACTTCTGTAGCACACTGACCAGTAGCTATGTGGGTATTTCTGTGCAACAGGCAATCAGATGATCTATGTTAAAGTTAATTTAAACACATTTTCTTGCTCTTTTCAACAGTGAAATGGAGTAAAGGCTAAATTCTATCTTCAAAATGGGTCATTTGGACTTTCCTTTAGTGGCAGGGCTTCCTTTCAGATTATTCTTGCAGCTTTAGAAACATTTGATAAATTTGTATGGATAGCTCTTATCCCTGGAGTCCCAATTCACATGGGTGAATTCTACTAGTAAATGTGTATTACTAACAATTAATGGAAACAATAATGACCCTGAAACTAAGTGAGGAAGGGAGGACCTGAGTTAGTTTTCTCCATGCCTGACTCGTGTCATGCACCATAGGGTCCCCAGTCTTACCTGTGTGGTTTCGAGTCATACATCCATATGTGTGGCAAGTTTCCCTGATTTATTCGTCAATGGACAAGCAGTCAGTCCCACCTCAGCCATTGTGAATACTGTGGCATGGGTGTGCCCATGCCCCCGCCACACACAGGCTCCTTCTCCTGTCTGCCCGGTGGAGCTTCTGGTTTTACTCTCAGGAGGATCCTCCACATTGCTCTGAGCGGTGGCCACAGTGCTGGGTAGCAGGAGAGAGTCCCCTTCCTCCTCTAGACCATAGCCTGTGCTATTTGGGATTAGTAGCTAAAAGTCATGAGTTTCTTCCATTCTGCTTAGGAATGGATGAGTTCATCTCAGAGTCCTGTGCTATGGCCAACGCATAGTGTCTTGTTGTTTAGGTTCAGTGCAGTCAAATTGGAGAATACTGTCAAGGTGAGAGGGAAGGAGGTCGGGAGAGAACAGCCTTGAGCCCTGATTTTGAACTGCACATGAATACAGTAGGTTAGCATAGACACAAACCATTAAAGGCTGCTGAGAACCAGGTGCAAAGCCCATGCCTGGATTATATGACTGGCGCGTTTCTCCTAACACCAATAGATTGGTGAATGAGATATTTCAGTTCATTTCTTCATGCAAATTTCTTCCATCAGACAGTGATTGAAGGTTGAATGGTGGTCAGTATTGGGTGCTGCACAAGTCCTGGGGGCATGAGAACGAACCTGACAAGAGGGAGACTCTCTGGTGTTTCTGACAGACTTCTCAGCTCTCTGTGTCCTTCTGTTTTATCTGTTTGCTCCCTGCACAGGCATTTTCAATCCCACCACTACAAGAATGATTCAGACTTTGGGGACACTGAATCTAAGTAGAAAGCTATTTTCCTCTTTTAACAAAATGCATGTATTTATACATTTTAAAAGGTTATAAAAGTATTATAGTGCAGATGTTCCAAAGCCTGATGACATTTTGTGTTCACATTTAAACACAGTTTAAAAGTTTTTCTGTCCGATGTTTGATAATTTTAATAGTTTAAAAGTGGTGTCAGTTTTGTGATATAAATGGCTCTTAATAGAAACTTTTCCTTCAACTTTTTTTTTTTTTCCTCTTTCCAATAGTTTTACCGAGCCACACCTGTGGGAACCCCGGGGAGATACTGAAAGGAGTTCTTCACGGAACAAGATTCAACATAGGAGACAAGATCCGGTACAGCTGTCTCTCGGGCTACACCCTGGAGGGGCACGCAGCCCTCACGTGCATCGTCAGCCCAGGCAGAGGCGCCTCCTGGGACTTCCCAGCCCCTTTCTGCAGAGGTACCGCACGCAGGGATGGGTTGATGACACGCAGCTCTGATGCGCAATGGTCCCAGGTCCCACAGACAATAGTAGTAGGACCCCACTTTGAGGAAAAGCGGTCACTCTGGCTCCCTCTGCTTCCAGAGCGATGTGATGTGTTCAGTTAGAAGCTGTAGTCAGAACCCAAGAAATCCACTAACAAGGGACTTGTAATTATATACCCACAATTTTCTTCTTTCCACTGCTCAAATTCACACAGCTCTGCCTTCCCAATCACCCTTTGTCACAGCACTCCGGTATTCATGCATGGATATGTCCTTGAGCTGGTGCCTCCCGCTTAAAACATTTCCTTGTTAAAATTGAAGGCTTCCCTCCATAGTCAAATTTCATCTTTAAGGACTCGAAAGCATCGGCATTTTCAATGAGTCCATCGTTAGTGAGCACGCTATTTCCAGTGTTCATTGCTGTGAGTCAGTACAGGGCTGGCTTTACTTTTCCTCAATCCGGGTGGTTTTGACAATTTCCTATGAAAATATTTTATTTTTTCAATCTTTAAGAAGGCACATTTTGAAGCTTCTGTTGTGACTGCCTTAACAAAAATTCACCTGTGGCTTCTAAAAACAAAAGTAGCTGACATTTATTGGGGTCTCGATGGGTGAAACCCACGCTCGCCCTCACTCACTGCCGTGACGACTGTCCTCACCTCCAGGTGAAGAGGCTTTTAGCTCTCAGAACTTACACGAGGTAGCAAGTGAAGAGGTGACACTTACCACACACAGCCTCAAATCCACGTCACTGGCCGCCATTGTGGAGCATTCATCAGCATGTTGTCACTTGTGTGTGTGCTATTTAACAAATATTCACTTAAGTTTTCCATTTTTCTCTCGTTCTGTGTTAGAGTTTCATAAGACGCCGGTGATGGTAGTTATTTTCCAAATATTACATATTACTGCTCCACAAACCAGTGCGTCTGGATCACTTTTTGTGGGCCAGGAAATATTACACCACATTTAAACTTCACAAGTAGGTGTGTTGCTAAAGGTTTATCTCATGTGTGGAAAATCTGTGAGGTCCCCAGGAGCAGAGTTGGAAGTGAGCAGTGGATGTAGGATACTGAAAATGTTCCTGGGCCCACCTGTCCATCTCTCCTCTCGGAACGGGTGCTTCCTCTGTCCACTCCTAATGTCTTTAATACCCCTCTCTGTTTTTATGAATGGTACTACTTTCCAACTTTGGATTGTCAGAACAGCCATGCCCTGAAATTCCAGACCCAGGTCCAGCGTGTTCCCGGGTCCTTGAGCTCTCGAGTGAAGCCTTCTTCGTACTTCTACACCCTTCTGCTCGTGTGCTTTCCGCTCCTCCACTCTCCAGTTTTTGTTTTCTTCCTTTTCATCCGGGACTGCTCCCAGCTTGTAAGTGAGCTCCGGATCTAGACTCAGCCCTCAGCCTACATTGTACTCCGCTTCTTCCCCAAATGACACCATCATCCGCTTTCTTCTCAGTCTATCTCGGTGATCCCACAGGGAGGACTCACAGCATGGGTGACACGGCCACCAACATGCTTGACAAACTCCCCTTAACGGAAGGCACAGTCTCACCCGTAGTGTCCCCAGATGACACACACGCTGTCCGCTCAGCGCAGTGTTGGCTGGACCGACCACTGCGGGCGCGCAGCCCCTGTGCCACTTGGTCCCGTGCCCTCTGCTCTGTTTCCACCATGCTGGGCCACACTCACCATGCACTCAGCATAGGCACACAGCAGGCCTGGCTCAGTCTCAGCGTTGCCTGAGGAGCTCACAACCCGTCTGATTCCACACTGGTTCTTTCTGCACTGCATCACCCTGTCTCCTGCTTCTAGTCAGAAGCCTGGCTGACTTAGGAAATCTAAACTTCATATTGAATTATTCACTGCTAAAATAGAAGTTGTATTGTCTATGGAATTTGTCTTTTTGCTATTCTGTTCTTTGGCTTAAAATTCCAATGATATTTTCTCCCTAGTTTGTAACTCCCCAGGAGATACAATGCAACCATGAGAACCGTGAATCAGTATTTCCTCGTTTTCTTTCTACACGAAAACAGCCCAATTCATGGGCACTGCATCAAAAACTAGTTTTTGTTTACTTTTGCTCTAGTACTTATTTTTTCTTTTTATTCTTTCATTGAAAGTTTTTTGCTAATTTCAGTTATGTACCTTATAAAGTCTAAGTTGTTTTTGAAATTAGGCAATTATCTTTTCTATCACAAATTTTTCTTATATTACAACTATATCAGGTACTTTCATCAGGATAAATATTTTCTACCATTTATAGATTCATGTATTTCTATTAAAATCTTATCTTTTTAAATACCAGGCCTACTACTGTTTTCATAGGCCATTAAATAAAATAATTTGAAAGACCCAACAGTTTTTTTATTGATTTGGATAACTGGATCATAAAGAGAAATCAATGATCTGATTCTTATAAATGTATAGATGTGGCATCTCCAGGAGAGCTGTCACTGAATTTCAGCAATGTGGCTGAGAAATTCTAAGAAATGAAATGAGCATATTTTCTGCTTCCCAAAAGTTCTAGTGATTTAGTTCCAGGAATTGTTGGGAGGATTTTTCTTGACAGGGGTGCTAACAGTAATTCCACTCCATCTGACACAACGATTCTTGTGTCACGCAGTTTCGCTTTTCATTTCACCTGGTCCTCTTCAGCCTGCACAGTAGCAGTAACACCGTGTGTGTGTGTGTGTGTGTGTGTGTGTGTGTGAGAGAGAGAGAGTGAGAGAGAGACACACACACACAGAAAGAGAGAGACAGAGAGAGACAGATGTGCACACTCCATATAGTTCCGTAGATTCTTTTTTCTTCCTTGCCTGACTGATTTAAACTTTCTCACTGACATCTTGCCGATTATTTATAACACCACAAAGGCTCTGCTGAGATACTGCTCCTCTCAGAAGCAGCTCATACTTTGGAATTGTTCAACACACAGGGACACAGCAGGCTGCGCAGTTGGACTGGAGTTCCTCCTTGGGCAGAAGAGAGCAGCACTGAATGGGCTTCTCTGAGGAGGGACTCTCCCAGCTCCCTCTCATTTATCCCTGATCTCGTTTTCACATTCCTTATGGCTCATCTGTGCCATGGTCACTCCTGACACAGGAAAGGACCACATATCACTGTGTGCAGGATTCCACCTGCCAATGGGGACAAAGGTAAAGAAGGAGAAGATACCAGATCCTGTCAGAAAAGGATGCTTTTCCTCATGATTTACATATTCTATTTTTTTGGGGGGGTTGAGACAGGGTCTCACTATGTAGTTGAGATTGACCTGGAACTCACTATGTAGCCCAGGCTGGTCTCAAACTCACAGCAATCCTCCTGTCTCAGCCTCCCAAGTGCTGGGATTAAAGGTGTGAACCACCATGCCTGGCTACATATTCTTTGTTTTTGAAGAGGAAGCTCATTTGGCCAACTAAAAAGTATATACTTTTGATTTAGAAATCTTATTTTTAAATATGAAGCTAAATATATGTGTCACACCTATCGAAATACTTCCCCCACACGTTAACCTAAATTTTATCCATAATGTGTATATTCATATTGTGCATACCATAACGAAGTTTAACATTTTTGTTTGCACATTAGTTCTTTATTGTTTTTCTCTTTATTGTGCATAAAAATTTCTGCCAGAGGTTTTCTTTTTGGATATTTAAATCTTTAGCTGGGGATGGTGGCACATACCTGTACAATCTCAGCACTCAAGAGGATTGCCATGAGTTCAAGGCCAGCCTGGGCTACATGTTGAGTTCAGGACCCTAAACTTAAGTAAATGTCAAGTTGGAGAGCTATCAATGTGAACATTATTGTTAAGGCCCCTTCCCCTCTTTTTTACCATGTTCCCCAGCTAGGCCTTGAATTCATTGATTTAATGATCCTCCTGCTGAGCCTTCTAAGTTGCTGGGACTACGAATGCAGATATGGACCACTGTTCCTAGATTTTCTTTATGGTGGTGTTGTTAGTTTTAGCAGTACTGGGGCTTGAGCCCGGGGCCTTTGCCCTGAGCTACATTTCCCAATACTTCTTAAAAATTTTTAATTTTGTGACAGGGTACTGCCTAGTGGTCCAGGCTGTTTTCAAACTTGAGATCCTCTCGTCTGAGCCTCTCAGTGAGGCAGGGCTCACTGCCATGCTTGATTGGAACCTGGTTTTATACATTTGAAATCCAGATCATGGAATGGCTCAGATTCTGAAACATTATTAAGTCCTGAAAAAGTTGAGATTATTTTTGATCAGAAATCTAGAAACTACATTTTGAAATAAATACAAATTCACAGGAAAATGTAGATACCTATTATATCCCTTGCTTGTTTTGTTTCCCCAGTAGTAACACCTTACAGGACCAGAGTGCAACATGATACACTGTATGTCAATGTACATGATACACTGTATCAGTGTATCATTATAGTAAAGTGTTATAAACCCCCAGGTCCACATGTTGACATCGCATAATCCACAAACTTTACTTGAATATTACTAATTCTGCATATACTCCTGGGTGTGTATGCATTTTATCATATGTAAATTGAGTTAAGAAACTAAACAAATAATCTCACTTCTTGTCAGCAGTACTTCAGTGTTTTATGATTTAAAAAAGTATTGTAAGAAGTGCATATATTCTATAGTGCATATGCTCTTATATTTCCAATAAATAAAAATATCATACACACAAACACTATGTGCTTTCTGGTATGGAATTATAATCAAGAAACTTCCGTAAAACTTGACCCTACTTGGCCAGTTCTGTGTGCATAAAGAAATGCTGTATCCGTCATCAGTAAGCCACCATGCCATTTCTCCATCTCCTTTCCCTAGGTAACCATAAGCCTTCCTATCTTCATAGATTTGCCTGTTCTGGGCATTTCACATAAATGAACCAGACAGACTGACTTTTGGGACTGGTTTCTTTGACTTCCTGTATTCAGGCTTCAAACAATGTAGCAAGGATCACTACACTTCATTTCTTTTTAT